GATCCTCCCTCCCCACCCCACAATCCCTCAGCTCTTCCAGATAGATCTAGAAAACACACCAGACCAAATCCTGAGAACTACAAGAAGAAAATCACAGTGAGTCATGTTTCTATATTGGGTCTACTTACAGAAAGAGAGAGAGTTGTGCAGATTCTGGGCATGGGATCTGGTCAGGAATGTGCCATTTAAAGCATTCCAGTATAGAGAAGGGCTGTGCACCAGAGTAAGAAGAGATTCTAGGTTCTAGAAGGACCTAAAATTGCATAGAAAGCAGGAACAGTTGTCTTTCACAGATCCAGGGTTGACTGAGACTGCAGCTTCTGCCTAGGCGTGTTATTTGCCAGGGGTAAAGACCACTTGTGGTTCCTAGACAGTAGCATAACAAGGAGCAAGTTAAGGAGCAAGCAGCCACTGTATGGCTCGGACCCCAAGAGTGGATCAGGATCTCATTTCCAACTTCCATCACAGTTAGAAGCTTCAGGAGGAATAACCAGACTGAAGAGAGCCTATAGTTCCCTCACCCTGAATCAGCAGAGGTTTCCAGCTGGCTAATAGTGACTGCATCTAGTAGCAGTAGAACTTGTAGAATTCAGACCAGAGGACCAGCCATCAAACTTTTCTCTGGATCAGACTACTTTGGGAGAACTGAAAGCTTCTAGTTCCTGGAGATCCTGGACATGACACTGAATGTCCCATGAAAGCAGCAATAGGACTACTCCACACATTTCTTCCAGAAGGGCACAGAACTTAGCCCTAACAAAGTACAAAGTCAGGAAATAAGCTGAAAGAATGAGAGAGCAAACAAAAAAAGGATCCCATCATAAAAACTGTTTTGTGAAAGAGACACTCAAGACACAAACTCAGAAGAAGAGGATGACTCCAAATAAGCACAAATGCAAAGCCTCCAAGAAAAACACAGCTTAAGCACAAATTCAACTCGAATCTCTAGAAAAGATGAACAAAAAATTTTTACATGTTTTTATCAGCGAAATGAAAGTGCTAGAGGGAAAAGAAATAGCCATGAAAGAAAGAGTTGATGAGAGAATAGCTTGGTATAAGAGGTGTAAAACCTTAACTAAGCCAACAGACTAGCTGAAAATTTTAATTGAAAAAAATAAAACCTAATGACTCCATGAGACAATAAGAAATAATAAGAACAAAGTTAAAAGACTTTTTTTTTCAAAAAATAGAAGAAATTGTAAGATATAAATAATATCAATAAATCAATAATTGACTGAGAAACAGAGCAAAGAGAGAGTTTAAAGTAGATTAAGTAATTGGACTACCTAGAAGCCATGATCAGAAAAAGAGCCAAGACATCATATTTCTGGAAATGATCAGAGAAAAATGGCCAGAATTCTTAGAATCAGAGGGCAAAGTGGAAATAGAAAGAATCTACTGGTCTCCTCCTTGAAGAAACCTCAAAATGAAAGCTTGCAAGAACATTATAGCTAAAATCAGAGCTTCCAAATCAAAGAGAAAATGCTGCAGGCAGCCAGAAAGCAAGCTCCCAAGTACTGAGGAACCACATGCATGATTTAGCAGGGACCACTGTAAACAGGCAGAGAGCTTGGAATATGATCTTCCTGAAGGCAAAGGCAAGAATAACTTACCCAAAACAAATGATTATAATCTTACAGAGAGGAAAACTAGACTGAATGAAATAGACTTCCAAATCATTCTTCATGAAAAGACCAGAGCTGCATAGAAACTTTGAAATGTAAACACAAGAGTTAAGAAACGTAAAAAGGTAATGATGAGGAAACAATAATAAAATGTGGAGATGATACATTTGTCCCCTTTGAACCCTTCATCAGGGTCGCTAATTAGCCAGAGGGCCTGGAACTGTTCTATTATGTCTTGATCTTAAAAGAAGAATGGGAAGGGAGGAGAAAGGGAATACAGTGAGAGAATGTTGGTGGGGGGAGGAAGGGAGAAGGTTAGGAACAATTACCTTACATAATTGGCATGTTCAGATAGATACGTACAAACAGGGAGGAAGGAGGTTGGGGGAACTGACTTGAACCTCATTGTGATCTGAACTGGTCAAAAGAGGAACAAATACATAACATTTGGGTATGGAAATACATTCTACTAAACGGAAACGAGAGAAGGGAAAGTTAGAGGTAGAGTAGATTAAGGAAGAAAGCAGTCCTAAATAAGACAAACTAAGGATATTCAAAAATATTTACATCAGTTCTTTTTGTGGTGGCAAATAATTAGAAATTAGGAGGGATATTATAGTAGCTGTGAACTCTTCCCTTTAGGGTCCACTTACCTTCTCCTCTTCCTGCAGAGGTGTCCCCTGCCATCCCCTGTCTCCAGGTGCAAAATCACCTCTCCTCTCTCTTATCCTCATTGTTGGCTTTGCAGAAAATGAAGCCCCTCGGTCTGTCTTCCCTTCTGTTGTTGGGTGCCTCATTCATGAGTGTGATAGGGCCAGAAGGACAGCTTTGGGGGATAAAGTCCAGAGCAAGAGAGGTCTTCTGACCCTGAAGTATTTGACTGAATACGTAGTGTCACCAACTGAGATGACATGGAAAAGGTAGGCCATCATACTTTCTATATGAGCTCTGTGTGGCCCCTGAAGAGTACCTTGTACTGCTCACAGAAGCCATCCCCACCCCAAACCCCAAAGCCAACAAAGAAAAGATGGCATAGGTTATTTTTGAGATCTTCAACACCCTTGCCATGTACATTGCCATCCATCCAGGCTGTGCTGTCCCTTTATATCTCTGGTTGTACCAGTGGTATTGTGATGGATTCTGATCATGGTGTGACTTACACTGTGCCTATCTATGAAGGTTATGCCCTTCCTCATGCCACTCTCCATCTGGATATGGTTGGCCATGATCTGACAGACTACCTCATGAAGAACCTGACCAAGAGAGGGTATAGTTTCACCATTACAGCTGAGAGGGAAATCGTGCATGACATTAAGGAGAAACTGTGTTACATAGCCCTAGACTTCAGAGTAGGAAATGGCCTTGGCTATTCTCTGGAAAAAGAGCTGTAAGCTCACTGATGGTCAGGTTGACAACAACCATTGACAACAAGAAGTTCAGGTGCTCAGAAGCTCTCTTCCAACCATCTTTCTTATGTGTGGAATCCTGTGGAATCCATGAAACTACCTCCACTTCAATCATGAAGTGTGATGTTGACATCCATAAGGAGTTATGTGCCAATACCATATTGTGTGGTGGAACCACCACGTACCCAGGCATTGATGACAGTAATCCGAAGGAGATTACAGCCCTAACCCCCAAACACAGTGGAAATCATCATCACTGTTCCAACTGAGTGCAAATACTCTGTCTGGGTTGAAGGCTGCACCCTGACCTCTCTGTCCACCTTTCAACAGATGTAGATCAGCATGCAGGAATATAATGATTGGCATGGCTGTATTTGGTGGGTATTTTGCTTGTTTTTTGCCACTTGATTCAGGATTTAAGAACTGAAATAGTAAAGATGATGAGCAGTCTGAGTTGGAGGCAAACGTCCCCAAAATTCTACAGTGCATTTTCAGGACTTTGATTACACATTTTTTTTCATTGTCATTCCAAACATATTGTTACAGAGAGTTACTTGCCTGTATGAAGGCTGTCTTATTTTACACAAAGGAACTACTTAACATAAATCCAGTCATGGGAGGGGGAGGAAGGGAGACAGTAGTGTTGCTTACAAGTTAATTATATAATCCTTCCAAAAAAATTTTTTTAGTATCTTCTGTCTTATGTCCTTTTTTTTTAAATTGTCAGAGCCATAGAACACCTCTAATTTCCCTCCCTGCCCCCAACATAGATATGAATGAAGGTTTTTTACAGTCCCCCCCATGAGTTCCATGAGATTGGTACCAGTATTTCGGGAGATACTGCTCCTATACACTGACTTAAAACCAGTTCAAACATAAGTACATGTTTTAAAAAAAAGAAAAATTCATGGGGATTGCTAACAGTTGTATTGGAGGAATTACTGAACAAGTTATGCGCTATAAATGTGATAGAATACTGTTGTGGTATAAGAAATGATGAAGGGCACAGTTTCAGAGAAACCTGAAAAGATTTGTATGAACTGATTATGAAATGAGGTGGTGCAGTGGATAGAGCACTGGCCCTGAAGTCAGGAGGACCTGAGTTCAAATCTGGCCTCAGACCAAACACTTAACACTAGCTGTGTGACCCTGGGCAAGTCACTTAACTCCAGTTGCTTGAAAAAAGAAAGAAAAAGAAATGAAGTGAGCAGAACCAGAACAATTCATGCAATGACAACAGTATTGTAAAGAAAAACAACTTTGAAATACTTAGGAACGCTCATCAATATAATGATCAAACATGATTCCAGAGGTCTTCTAATTGAAACATGCCACCCACCTCCTGATAAGAGAGGAGAAGGACCGAGAGTACAGAATAAAGTTGGTTTGTTTTGCTTAAGTAAACAGATTTGTAACAAGTGTTTTGTTTTTCTTTCTGAATTTGGTGGGGTTGGAATGGTAGGAGGGAGAGAAGGTAGATTTTTGCTGATTGGAAAAAAAATTAAATTTTTAAAGAAACAAGAGTACCTCCACATTATTTTGAGGTATCATAGTGGAACTCAGTGGACAATTTTTGTTTACTCATTTTATCCAGGATTTTTTTTTAACCTGTCATAAATACAATTGTGTAGGAATAGCATTGATGCTTAGAAAATGAAGCTATTTGATTCAGGCAGTTTTAAAATACAGGTTTTCTTCTAAACATTGCATTTGGAGCATTACTATCAGTGTTCTTACCAAATTGGAGTTTTGTAAACATCCAGTGTGGGTTAAAACAATGGATTTCTGAATGTAAATCACTACTGGTTAATAATACTTCTGATACTTTCAACAAAAAATAAAAGAAACAAATTGGTAGTATTGGCTTGTTTCTGTTTTGATTTTACCATGTAGATGTCTTTAAAAAGAGTTTTGTATTTATATAAATTGATCTGTAGCAGATTATTTTTGTTTTTCTGTCTTGTTGCAGATCAGTATTTGATATTTGGTGCTGAGGAAGGGATATATACCTTGAACCTTAATGAGCTACATGAGACATCAATGGAACAGGTTAGTCATTTTGTTTTACGTCACTTGCAAAAGCATTTATTTAGCGCCTACGATGTGTCAAGCTTTGCATTAGGTGCTAGAGACCCAGAGAGGAAAACGAAACAGTCTTTGCCATCAAGGAGTTTTCATTTTACCTATAGCTTGGTGGTAACATGTGTCAGCATTTCAGCTCTGTTGGTGTATCCTTCAAGGACCACAGAGTCACCTCCCTACTTTAAGGAGGCATCAGAGTAAGACTGGAGTGGTGAAGAGGGTTTTCTGAGAAAGGGAGGAGAAGGGACAAGGTAAGGAGGACACAGGTAAATTGGTAGACTGAGGAAACATCATGAATACTTCTCTACTATTTCCCTACTCATTTGATAGAATTGTCTTGTTTATCATGTCATTGGTTTTCTTCCATTATTAAAGTTACTAATTTATGGTTCAAGGAGTTGATAAGAGCAGCTACTACTTGATGTTTTAGCTAGCTAGTTAAGTTGTTATACTCTGAAAACTAGTTTTTGTGATTATTGTTTCCTTTGTACAGTTTTTTTTGATCTTATTGATATCTTTTGTTGTTGCATCACTTTCATTTCTCAGTCTGTCTCTCTCTTCTGCTATATACAGAACCACTATTTAGACAAAGAATTAAAAAAGTGGGGGGAAACAGTTTAGCAAAACTAACGCATTTGCTGAGGCTTGCAGTATATTCAGTGTTTCGCACCCATAGTCCTCCACTTCTGCAAAGAAGGGAAGTGAGGTCAATTTTCTCACCTCTTCTCTGGGTCGAAACATGGTCATTATAATTACATACCATTCAATAACTTTGTTGTTATTGTTCTTTTGATATACATTACTGTTGCCCTTGTATTTGTCATTTTCATGGTTCTCATTGTTTTACTTGTATCAGTGTGTGTAAGTCTAACCATACTTCCTTGTTTATTCATCATGTTTAATGTTTCTTATTGCACAGAAATAGCCCACTGGATTCACGTACCACAATCTGTTCAGCTCTTCCCTAATCAGTGTTTCTAATTCTTTACCGCTACAAAATGTGATGCTTAAGCTATTGTTTTATTTGTGACTTTTCTTAGACCTCCTCATTACACTTAGCAGTGGGCCACAGGCCATGCACTGAGTTACTTTTTTCAGTATAATTTGAGTTGCTTTCCAGGATGGTTGGGGGCAGTTCTTATTTGCATCAACTGCATTTTAATGTGTTTCTTTCTACAACCCTTCCATTGTTGACTGTTCCTATCTTTTGTCATTTTACCTTTGATTGGTATATCTCTTATTATTAGTGTTTTGCAGCAGGCTTTCATATGGTAGTTAAGAGTTTGCAGTTCTTTTGAGAATGGCTTTGACTCTACGTGTCTGCCGGGAATGGATAGTGGTCCTATATATTTTTATCAGTACCTGCTGTGTCTTGGAAATTAGATCTTTATCAGTGCTATTTAATGTCATTTTCTCAACTTCCCTTATCCTAAATTGATTTTGTTCGTGCAGAAGCTTTTCAGTTTCATAATCAAAGTGATCTATTTTATGTTTTATCATCTCTTTGTTTAGAATTCTTCTCTTAGTCATTGCTCAAAGGTACCTGATCTGGTCCCTTTCTCTCTCCCTATTGCTTCCTCCTTCAACTCCTCTTTCCCTCCAATTCTGTGGCCCAGAGGATAGAGGGCTGGGCCTAGAATCAGCAAGACCCGAGTTCACATCTGGCCTCAGACACTTCCTAGCTCTGTGACCCTGGGCAAGTCACTTAACCTGTCTGCCTCAGTTTCCTCAAATGTAAAATGGAGATCATAATGGCACCTCTTTCCCAGGATTGTTATAAGGATTAAATGAGATAATATTTGTAAAGTTCTTAGCTCAGTGCCTGGCACCTACTAAGTGCTTATTCCTTTTCTGTTCCATTCTTTCTTTCCCTCTCTTTTAATATCTAGGTTACGTATTCGTTTTCAATTTACCATGCTATATAGCATAAGATATTGATCTAAACCTAATTTCTGCCGGTCTGCTCAAGTTTTACCACCAGTTCTTGTCAAACAAGAGGTTCTTCCACAATTTACTTCTGTTCTCGTGTTTATTGAGTAGTTCAGTCATTTCTAATTCTTTCTAATTCTTCTTTATCTAGTCTATTCCATTGATCTACTTTTTGGACATAATGAATTTAAGGTGCCTATTGGACATCCAATTTGAGATGTCTGAAAGGCAGTTGGATATGTGAGATTCCCAGTCAGCAGAGAGATTGGGGCAGGATGGGTAGATTTGAGAATCGTCACCATAGATATGGTAATTAAATATATGAGAGCTGATGAGATACCAGGTGAAATAGTATAGAGGGAGAAGAGAAGAGGGCCCAGGACAGAACCCTGAGGGACACTTGGTGTTAGAAGACATGTTCTGGAGGGGAAGATCCAGCAAAGGAGACAGAGAAGGAGCCATCAGATAGGTAGGAAGAAAACCAGCAGAGTAGTGTTCAAAAAAAAGCTAAAGAGAAGAGGGTAATTGGATGTCCTATAGACAGTTTAAACTCAAGTCCAAAACAGACCTTATTATCATTCCAATTTTTCCAGTCATATACTAATTTACTTCAGATCCTCATTTATCACTTGCCTAGATTTTTTTTTCTTTTCTTTTCTTTTTTTTGCTTTTTGGTGAGGTAATCAGGATTAAGCAACTTGCCTAGGGTCTGAGGCCGGATTTGAACTCAGGTCTTCCTGACACCGAGGCCAGAGCTCTATCTACTGTGCCACCTAGCTGCCCCCTACTTGCCTAGATTATTGCAACAGTTTCCTAATTGTTTCTGGACCCTTAAATCTCCTACCACTCCAGTCCATCCTGTACACCACTGCCAGAGTAATTTTCCTTAAGTGCGTATCTGATCACGTGACACCTCTGTTCGGCAAACTCCAGTGGCTTCCTTTTGCCTCTGGAAGAAAATACAAACTCCTCTGTTTAGTAGTTAAAGCTCTACACAAAATTATTGGGTGTTTTTACTTTTTCTCTTGTACTCTGTGACCCAGCCAAACTGGCCCTCCCATTTCAATGCCTTTGCACTGGCTGGCTATCCCCCATGCCTGGAATATGCCCCCTCTACCCCACCTTAGAGCCTCCCTCTTCCTTTAAGATGCCACTCAGGAGCCATCTTTGGCAGAAAGCCTTTCCTGTTTCCCCTAAGTGCTAATGCCTCCCCCTCAATTACCTTGTATGTATTTCTGTATATATTTGTATTCATTAGCTTGATATTTATATCATACTTGTGGTCTCCCACATCATAGTGTAAGTTCCCCACAAGTAGAGGTTTTTTCAATTCTTTGTACTTATGTCTGTGGTGCCCAGCATAGTGTCTGGCACACAGCTGTTATTTCACATCAGTGGATTGATTGTCCCCAGCACACCTGCCCCTCTTCCAAACTTCTGTTTCCATAGAGGGTCCCACCATCCTTATAAACACCCATAAAGACATAGGAATTGAGGCAGCATCACTAAGCAAAACCAGGAAAACAACAGGGATGACTGCCATAGTGTAAATGGGGAAAACAACAACATACTGTTCAACCCTGGGTGCTCCAAAACCGTTCCAGAAAAGACAGGGAAGGCCCTGCCCTTTTTTTCTTTTCAGAGTGAGGAGAAAATATGAATATAGTGATTTTTGAAAGCAAAAGTTATCGATAATTTTTTCTAAAAATGGGAACTAAGAATGAGCTTGAGTATAATAAGATCATATGCCAGTATTGGCATACAGTATTATATTATATACTGTAGTATTTAAGTGAATATGATGTGCTCTGTGAGGGTGTATATAGGTGCTGTTCTGTTGTCCACTAAGGGATATCAGTTTCGCTGCTTACATCATATATCTCATGCTCACCACAGCATTTTTAGATCTTGATAATGAATTACTACTAGAAATTGATTATGATTCCATGTGTACTTAATAACCAATGATAAAATCAAAGTTTTTACAGAAGACAAATATAATTTTTGGATGTGATTTATCAGTATGCATTAAAGTTTAATTTTTTAGTTATCGCACATTAATTTTATATTCTTCTGTTCAGTTTGTAAAGTCCTGTATAACTTGTCCTTTACCTATCTTTCTTTCATTTTGTTTTGTTTTTTGTTTTGTTTTTTGGTGAGGACACTTGAAGTTAAGTGACTTGCCCAGAGTCACACAGCTAGTGAGTGTTATGTGTCTGAGGCCAGATTTGAACTCAGGTCCTCCTGACTCCAGTGCTGTATCCACTGTGCCCTCTGGCTGCACCCCCAACCTATCTTTCTAACCTCAATAGATATTACTCCCCTTCTTGCATTCTGTCATACAGCCTAACTAGCCCTTTGTCATCCTCCCTTGTGACGCTGTCTCCCATCTCCATACCTTTTCCCTGGCTGTCCCACATGCTTGCAATGGGTTCTTTTCTTACCTCCCTCTTAGAGAGCCTCTCTCTTCCCCTAAGTTCACGGGCCATCTCCTGCAGGAAACCTTTCCTAATTCCCCTGAAATTGTAATGCTCTACTCCCATACTACCATGTATTCAGCTATTTTGTATGTAGTTGTACTTAAAAAATTGTTGTTCATGCTTTATATATATTTTATGTGTACTAGTCTCCCTATTAGAATATGAATAGGCATTGTTTCCTTCTTTGCCCTTGTATCCCCACTGCCTTGCACGTAGTAGGTATTTATTTGTTGATTGAGCACTATTTATTTCCTGGTTCTGTACTAATTAATCCAAATAGTTCAAAAATTAATTGGTCATAGATGTGAGGTGCCTAAAAGTCATAAGTTGTATCTTTTGTTTTCAATTTGAAGTTGTCTTATTGATTTGAAAATCTACATTCTCAATATAAAATGTATTTTTAAGATGTTATATATACAGCACTTTTAAAAATCCATTCATTTTTCTTACCAGCTATTTCCCCGAAGATGTACATGGTTATATGTAATGAATAATTGCTTACTATCAATATCTGGTAAGTCTTTTATGTTTTAAAGTGTTACTTTATTAAAATATTAGAGAAATGGTATTATATTCCTTGTATGTAAAGCTTTATTTTATATATATATCTTTTTTTCTTCAGGTAAAGCATCTCAGCTTTATTCCCATAATTTACCAGGACTTTTTGATTATGCAAGACAAATGCAAAAGTTACCTGTTGCTATTCCAGCACACAAACTCCCTGACCGAATATTGCCCAGGTGAGTGTATACAAAGAGGTCATATTTTTTTTAGCCAGAGACATAATATGTTATTAATCCTCTGACAGACATCTCTGCTCAAGGTGCCCCATCACTAAAGCATCAGAGTTGTGCTCAAAAATTCCATGATTTTAATCAGTAGAAACTTTTGTATTCTGTTTTGCCTTTACCTATTTCTCCTTACGCCAACCGTTTTTATTTTCTTTTTTGACTTTATTTTTCCTTTTGTACAAGTCATTTTTTTCTGTTGTTTTTTTTCCCACTAAGTCTTAAAAGTTTTACGTCCTGTTAGTTTAAGTTGTTTTTTAATCAAAGGAAAATAAAGTACTTTATTGACCAATAATTTATAGAAATTTATCATTTTAACATTTAAAGTTGATATTGTGTACTATAATAATTTCATTAATATGCATAGTCTTTTTGTCAGCACAAAATACAATTCTATTGTACCACAGTCCTCAGGATTTCCTGTGGTCAAAAAATGTTTTACCCTCTGGCCAGCTTGGTCATGAGTCTTTCCAAATTCAGTTCAGTTTAATAGGCATTTATTAGCCAAAATGAAGGTGTGGGTTCAAGTGCTAGGGATGCAAAGAAAAAAGAAAAAGACGGAATCTTGCCTCAAGAAGCTTCCATTCTTTTGGGGATGGGGTAGAGGTAGGAGAAAACAACCATGTGCATAGATAAGCAAATAAAAGATATACAAAGTAATTTTCTAGCAGGGATGAGAGAAGCACCAACTACTGCATTTTGGGGAAGATCAGGGATTCAACTCCAAGAGGTGGAGTTGAAAAGAGAAAATGTACCAGTAACGAGAGACACCTTTGCAAAGATACGAATGCAGATGAAATGTCATGCATAGGGGAACCATAACTGGGTAGCATGACTTGATTGAAAGAAGAAATACTGTAGTAGGAAAGGAATCTAAAAATGTTGACTTGATCCTGATTGTATAGGGTTTAGAAAGCCAAATGGCGTCCTTTGTTCCTAGAGGTAGAGGGAGCCCCTAAAGTTTGTTGAGCAAGGGATTGATGTGGTAAAAATTCTGCTTTTAGAAATCTCAGTCTAGCAGCCATGTGAAGTTTGGACTGGCGAGGGGAGAGATGAGAGGCAGGCAGACCAAGTTAGAGGCCAGGTGATCGTCATGTTAGTGGAGAAGGAGAGAAAGGCTAGAGATGCTGTGGAGATTAAATCAGCAATCTTAGTAATTGCTTGGAAATAGGGGTGAGGAAAAGAATGCCATAAGGAATGGTTCTGAGAATGCAAGCTTAGGTGACTGAAAATACAGTAATATGTCTTTGGGAGAAATCAGAACGTTGGGTTCAGGAGGAAGTAACATTACAAAATGCAAAGAAACTAAAACTACAACCCAAAATTTATACATTCTATAAACCTAAGCCTAATCATCAAAGAAATAAAATCACTGTTCAATTAAAGAGAGGCATTTTACGCATTCCTGGAAAAAAATAGAAATGAACAGATTATTCAACTTACGAATATCCCCAACCACAGAATTTAAGAAAGGTAACTATGTGCAATTATTACTAAAAAAAAATATCAAAATCATTTCCCTGATATTATTGTTTTTTGTTTTGTTTTTGTTTTTCCTTTTCTTTTTAGACAGTTGGGGTTAAGTGAGCCTAGGCTCACACAGCTAATAAGCGTCAAGTATCTGAGGTCAGATTTGAACTCAGGTCTTCCTGACTTCAGGGCCGGGTGCTCTGTCCACTGCGCCACCTAGCTGCCCCTATGTTACTGTTTTTTGACAGGGAGACAGAATAATGAGAGATCATTAAAGGATGAAAAGAGGAATTTTAAAAAGTAGGAGAAGGCAACATAGAAGAGTTGAATCAGTGTTCCATGGACAAAATCTACCCTTATTCCCTACAATTGAATCAATATATTTTGTGTAAAAAAAAAACAGAATGGAAAATTGGATAAATGGGGGGAGGGAGGTAAGAAACAGAGAAGCAGATGATATGAAAATGGTGAGATAGTAATTTCTTTGGTCTAGCAACAACAACAAAAAGCAACATAACTTAGTGGAGATAGAAAGCTGACCTGGAAAGCACAAAGACCTTGGTTCAAATTCCACCCCTAACAAATGCTTGACTTTGTTACCCTGGGCAAGTCACTTAAACTTATCAATAAGGAGAATTTGTGTAGGAGGATAGAATAAAATCGATAAAGAGAAGTGACTAGAAAATCGGTAGAAGTAGAAGGGTCATTCTTTCCCCTCAAAGGGAAAGAAAAGCTGCTCTTAAAGAAACATTGCCATCTAAGAGGTAAGTGTCTAAGGATTTTTTTTCGGGTTAGCCTCCCAATCCAAGAGGTAAAATGGATTACTTCTCAGTGGCAGCTAGCACCTAGAGTGACAGAAAGACTATGAAGAACCAAATGGAAGATAATAATCTTTGTAAGGGCAAAGAACCGGACTGGGCATTTTTCATGGGCAACACTGAACAAATCCTATCATACAGCACTGCATCCATTTTACATCACTGTTCTCATCTATTGATATTTTTGAAATTGAGGAATTTTTGAAAACATTGAGGGAAATGCAACAGCTTATCATCATTCCTGGGGTGGAACTAAAGCAGTCTTCAGAGAGAAAATTATACGTCTGAGAAAAAAAAACTGATTTTAAATGAGCCCATTAGATGCACACTATTTATCTTTAGTTCCTTAAAGCAATTCCAGAGCATAAATATGATCATCTAAACCCTAGGGATCAATGAGTTCTCCAGTGGAGAATGTGGGAAGGGAGGGATTAAAAGAGGAACCTGGATTGAGGCCTGATAGTAGAATATCCACAGTAAAAAGGTTGGGCATGATGACACCTCTGAAGAAGACTGAAACAGTGAAAGACGAGACAGAAGAAATGCCGTGAAAGCCGAGAGTAAAATGAATTTCCAAGAGAGAAAGGATGGTCTGTAGGGCCAAAGCCGTCCCATCAGTCAATAAATATAAAGTGCCTACTATGGGCCAAAGATGATATTTATCAATAGGGATACAAAGAAAAGCAAAAGATAGTTCCTGCTCTCAAGGAGTTCACAGGCTAATGGAGAAGACAAGATACAATTACATATAAACAAGATGTATAACAGGATAGATTGGAACTAACAGAGGGAAGGCAGTAGCATTTATGGGAATAGGAAGTGTTGTTACAGAAGGTGGCAGATTTTGGCTGGAACTTGAAGGAATACAGGAAAGCCAAGAAATAGAGGTGAGGAAGGAGAGCATTTCTGGCATGGTGGAAAGACAGTGAAAATGCTCACAACCAAGAGATATGGAGTGTCTTATTCATGGGACAGCCAGGAGGCCAATGTCACTGAATTGAAGAGTATGTGCCAAGGGAGTAAGGCGTAAGAAGACTGGAAAAGTAGGAGGGAGCTAGGTTATAAAGTACTCAGATCCTGGAGGCAATGAAGAGCCTCTGGAGTCTTAAACAATAGGTAATTGACATGTGCAACCTACCTATGCTTTAGGAAGAGTACTTTGACAGTTGAGTGGAGGGTGGACTGGAGTGGGGAAAGACTTGGGGAAAGAAGACCAACCAGTATCTTGCTACAGTATCTTAAATGTGAGGGATTAAAGACCAGAGTGGTGGCAGTGTCAGAGGAGAGAATGGGGCAAATACAAGAGATGTTATGGAAGTAAAAACAACTTGTTGATATGGGAAGTGAGAAGTCAAGGATGACACTTGTCAGCCAGTGGGCTAAGCATTGAGGATACAGAAAGATGCAAAAAACAGTCCCTGCCCTCAGGAAGCTCACAATCTAATGGATGGTGGTGTCCTTAATGATATTAGGGATGATAGGAAGAGGAGACATTGTGGGGTATGGGGAAAAGATGAGTTCAGTTTTAGACATGTTGAGTTTAAAATGTCTCAGAGACATCCTGTTTGAAAGCTGTTGGTAACGCTAGACTAGAAGTCAGCAGAGAAGTTAGTGCTAGATAAGTAGCTTTGAGAATCATCAGCATAAAGATGATAATTGAAACCATGGGAGCCAATAACTTCACCAAGTAAAATAAGATATAGATAGAAAAGAGATGGCTCAGAGCAGAGCCCTGTGGGACACCTGTGGTTGGCAGGCATGACCCAGACAGAGATCCAATGAAGCAGTCTGAGAAGGCACAATCAAACAGAGAGGTAGGAGAAACCCTAGAGAAGAGGGTAACAGTGTCAGAGACTGCAGAGAGGTCAGGAAGAAGGAGGATTGAGAAAAAGTACTGTTAGAAACTTTGGAGAGAGCAGTTTGGTTGATTTGGGAGATTGGAAACCAGACTGTAGAGTTAAGAGAGTGAGAAGAAAGGAAGCAGAGTTACCTGTTACGAATGGTGTTCTTGAGAACTAGCAGGAAGGGGCCAAAAAATCAACATAGAGGAGAACTAAGAAAATCCGTTGGGTTTCTTAATAAAGAGGCATTGGTAGCCTTAAGAAGAATAGTTCCAGTGGGGTCAGAAGCCCTTCAACAATAAATAGTCCATTGGGCCAATGGCACGTAACAAACAGACGAAATTAAACAATGATTTTGTGTTAGTCTCTTAGTTGCCCACTAGGTATCTTTAGTTCCTTAAAGCATTCCATTATTACTAGCCTTTAACATTATTTACCAAGATTTCATGCCAATTTAGCTTCTTTTCTTAAAGCTTATTTCCAGAACCATAGCATACGCAGTTAGCCCACATAGGTATACAGAGTCATATTCACTAAGCACTGGATTAGACATAAAGTTCAGATAAAACTGTGTCCATTACTCCATTAAATTTACTATTCACTTGAGAGATATGTTGCATACCCAGTTAGGCATAATTCCAAGTATTAGATATGTGTGAGAGAGCTGCAAGCAAGCTACAGTATGTGAAATGGGAAGAGAACGGAGGTAAATTTAATTTACCTCCTGAAATTACTACCTGAAATTTAATGTGGCTTCAAGGCTATGGTGTCCACTTCTGCGTGCCATGCGTGTGGGATCTGCTGCCATAGGCAGAACATAGAGAATCCTCAGGGGCCGGGAAAAAATTCCATGCAATCTTTTAAAAACCACTTATTACACATACCCTATGTCCATCCCACCTTGGGCAGGTGGGGGAGGGGAGGGGAAACAAGAATAAACAAGCTAAAGTCATGTCATCCAAATGAAATTATTTCCTTAGCATCCTATCAATAAGCATTTCTCAAATGCCATGTGGCAGGCATTGTTGTATTAGGTTTTGGGGATACCCAGATAAAAGCAAAATTGTCCCTTCCCTAAAAGCTTTCATCCTAACATGGGAAACTACGTGTATGCATATATGTGTGCATACATAATGCATACAAAAGTGAAAGAGGAAAAGGGAAGGAAACAAGCATTTATTAAGTGCCTACTATGTGCCAGGCACTGTGCTGATGTTTATTCCCCATTTTGTCCTTGCAGAAACTAAGACAAATGGGTTAAGTAATAGAAGGTGACCTGGTCAGGGGCACCAAGAGAGCCCTCGTAGCTAAAGGACACCAGGAAACGCCTCACTTAGCTAGTGAGTCTAAAAGGAAAATCGGAGATTTTGAAGGGCAGAAATGAGAAGGGGGTGCACTGGGCCTTCCAGGCAGAGGTAGGAAAGAAGGAGGGAAGGGATGGCATGCAGTAGGGAAGAGAGAAGCAACATTATGAGTGAAGAACAGCAAGAAAAGCAGTTTAGCTGGGTCCTAGAGGATCTAGAAGGGAATAGTAACATGAAATAAGCCCAGAAAGGTAGGTTGATGCCAAGTTATAAAGTTCTTTAAGTGCTGCCATCGTCCTCTTTGGCCCCTTTCCCCCCAAAAAGAGTTTGTATTTGTCTGTCCTAGAAGTTAATAGGAGCCATTGGAGTTAATAGAATAGCAGGATGACATGATCAAACCTGCAGCTTTGAATAATCACTTAGAAGGCTATGTGGAGAATGGATTGTATTAGCCATTTCTGTTTATCTTTTAGGAAATTTGCTGTATCTGCAAAAATTCCTGAAACCAAGTGGTGTCAAAAATGTTGTGTTGGTAAGTACTAAAACCACCAAAGTAGGGCCATTCTGTTTTGTTAGGCTGACTGGGGAATTGAATGAGGTTTGTTTTTTATCCTATGCCAAAGGAATTTTTTTAAAAAAAGTTGATAGAGGCCATCCTTGCCACTGGACAGCTCACTGTCTGCAAGAGTTTGGTTGTCCCTGTCAGAACAAAAATGGTTTCTTCACCACCTATCCTACCTTTTGGGCAATTCAATTCAATAAATATTTATTAAATACCTACTCTGTGTAAGGTACTGAGCCAGGTACTGAATATGCAAAGAGAAAATGAAATGGCCCTCAGGAAGCTTACATTTTATTGGTGGGAAATTGAATATACATAGGTCAGTATATACAAAGTAAATATGCAGAGTAATTTCTGAGGCAATAGGAAAAGGGACTTTTTGGTTAAGGATGGTAGTTGATCCATACTTTATAGGAAGAGTGGAAATGGAATGCTTGGTGCAGGCAACAGCAAGCAGTCCAGCTGATGTTATGAATAGAATACATAAAAAGGAATGACTTGAAATCATTCTGGGAAGATATATAGGAACCACAATGTGAAACCTTTTAAGGGATATGCAAAGGAATTTTTTAATTTATCATAGTAAGAAGTCACTGAAAGTCCCTGAGCAAAAATGTGACATAATCAGACCTGAGCTACCATTTGACAGGAGCAAGAATTGGAGATGGGAGGTGTGAAAAGTTAGAGAGCTAAATTCCCCTCTTGTGATAGTCCAGGAGAGAGATGAGGAGGGCCTTAACTAGGATTGTGGCAATATGAGGAAAGAGAAGAGGACAGACATTAGATTTTTTTGGAGATAGAATCAAAACTTGGCAATGGATTTGATATAAGGGGTAAGGGAGAATGAAGAGTCAGGGGTGGCTATGAGGTTGCAGACCTAGGTAAGTGGAAGGATAGGCACAGCTCTCCACAGAAATCAGGAAATTAGGAAGCAGGGTGGCTCTGGAGGCAAATAGAACCACAACCAATTTGGACATACTGAGTTTAACATTGCTTTGGGACATTGAGGGTGGAGATGTCCAGTAGGCTTTCGACAGGTGGTATAGGATTAGAACTTAGGAGGGAGATGCAAGATAAGGTAGATTTCAGCACCATCTGCATAGATAGGATAAACAAACCTGTGAAAGCTCACCAAGACAGAAGGTGTAGAGAGAGAAAAAAAGAAGAGTCCAGTCCTGAGGCCAAAGGCATACCCACTGTTACTGTGGGATGATGATCCCACACAGGAGAAGGAGTGGTAAGACAGATGGAAGGAAAACCAGGAGAAAGCAGTGTCATGAAAACATAGGGAGGGGACAAGTATATCATGAGGAAGAAGTTGTCACCAGTGCAAAATCAACAGAAAGTTCAAAAAGGATGAAGGCTAAGAAATTTCTGTTGGTTTTAACAATTTTAAATGAACCAAAAAGAATAGTTTGTATTGTATCCCAGAGGCACTGGGGAGCCATTGAAGCTTCTTGAGAAGGGGAGAGACATGGTCAGACCTGTGCTTTCGGAATATGAGCAGCTGTGTGGATAATGGAAAGACTGAGGACAGGAAGGCCAACGAAGAGTTGCAGTAGTCTAGGGAAAAGATGATGAGGCTTGAAATAGTATGTTAGTTTTCTGGATGGAAAGAAGGGGATGCATGCAAAAGGTGTTGTGGTATTAGAACTGACAACATCTGATAACTGATTGGATATGGAAAGCAAAGAGGACTCTCAGGATTGTCAGAAATAGGTAAGTTAGGAATAGGCTTGGTAGGACTTGGGCAAAGATAATTCCATTTTGGACTATTACAGTTTGAGATGACTGGGGAACATCTAGTTAGACATATAGATATAGACAACAAGCAGCTGTCTTATGAACCTGGAGCTCAGGAGGTTGAGAACTGAATCAGTAGATTTGGCATCTCAGTGGAGATAACTGAACCCAGTGCAGCTGTTGATCACTGAGAAGGGATGTGGGAAGAAAAGAGAAAAGCACTCAGGACTGAGACCTGGAGTATATCAGTTATTAGGAGGCTGGATACAGATGATGAGTCAGAAAAGGAGCAGTCAGGAAAAGAATCAAGAGAGAGCAGTGTCATGAAGGTTTGGGGATGAGAGTGGCCAACAGTGTTACATGCAGAAAGGTCAGAAAGGGCTAGGACTAAGAAAAGGCCATTAAATTTAGCAATTGGCATTATTGGTAACCTAGGAGATAATTTTCTTTTTCATGTAAGTTATAGGGTCAAAAGCCAAGCTACAGGAGATTGTGAAGTGAGTTGGATGGGAAGAAGTGGCAGTGGTGAGTGTAGACAGTGTCTTTTGGGAGGATGAATTGCTGTGAATGGGAGGAGAGATATAAGATTATAGCATGGGGAGAGGGGTGTCAGATGAAGGCTTTTAAGGATGGAGGAGGTCTGTGCCTATTTATACACATCAGGGAAGGAGCCAGTGGGTAAATAGAAATTGAACATTGGAAAGAAAGAAGGACTAATTGAAGAAACCAGTCTTCAAGAAGACTAAATCAAGGGTACAAGTTAGAGGGTTTGTCTGTGTGGCAAGAAGAAGGGCTACCTTATTCTCCAAGAGAAGAGCAAAAAGGAAAGTATGGGGGTTACTGGTAAGGGAATTTTTATCTGCCTGTGATAAATGGCTTCAATTTTCTTAGTAAAGGAATTTGTAACACATTATTTTCCATAATTTGAAGAAGGTATTTGTGTATGGAATGTAAGGTTGAACTAGATAACTTCTAAGTGCCCTTCTAACTAACATGAGAGGATGATGGGAAGGAATATCCATCGTTGTTGTTCAGTCGGGTCCGACTCTTCCTTACCCCATGGACTGTAGATGTGAGGCCTTTCTAACCTCTCCTGTGTCTCGAAATCTGTCCAAGTTCATGTTCATTGTTTCCATGATAGTATCTGTCCATCTCATCCTCTGCTGTCCCTTTTTTCTTTTGCCTTGAATTTTTCCCTACACCAGGGTCTTTTCCGATAAGTCCCAAATTCTCATGTGGCCAAAATATTTAAACTTCAGCTTCAGTATTTGATCTTCAGTGAATAGTCTGAATTAATTTCTGTAAGTATTGACTGATTTGACCTTCTTGCTGTCCAAGGGACTCTCAAAAAATCTTCTCCAGCACCACCATTCAAAAGCATCAATTCTGCGGCGCTCAGCTTTCCTTGTAGTCCAGCTCTCGCAGCCATATGTTGGTACTGGAAAAACCATAGCTTTGACTATATGGACCTTAGTTGGCAAGGTTACGTCTCTGCTTTTTAGTATGCTGTCTAGATTTGCCAAAGCTTTCCTTCCACGGAGCAGGTGTCTTAATTTCATGGCTGTAGTTGCCGCCTTCAGTGATCTTTGAGCCCCAAAATATAAAATCTGACACTGCTTCCATTTCTTCTAACTCTATTTGCCAGGAAGTGATGGGATCAGTTGCCAAGATCTTAGTATCTTTGATGTTGAGCTTCAAGCCAGCTTTCATACTTTCTTCTTTCACCCTCATCAACAGGCTTCTGAATTCCTCTTTCCTTTCTGCCATTAGCGTGGTATCACCTGCATATCTGAGATTGTTGATATTTCTCCCAGCAACTTTAATTCTGGCTTTTGATTCATCCATCTGGGAATTCCACATGATGTACTCTACATACGTTAAATAAATAAGGTGACAAAATACAGCCTTGTCATACTCCTTTCCTAATCTTAAACCAATCAGTTCTGTTTTCGGTTCTAACTGTTGCTTCTTCACCTACATACAAGTTCCTCAGGAGGCAAGTAAGATGATCTGGCAGTACTCCCATCTCTTCAAGGACTTGCCACATTTTGTTGTGATCCACACAAAGGCTTTAATGTAGTAATGAATCAGAAGTAGATGTTTTTCTAGAACTTCTTTGCTTTCTCCATAATCTAGCAAATGTTGGCAGTTTGGTCTCTAATTCCTCTGCCTCTTCAAAAACCAGCCTGCTCTTCTGGTAATTCTCGGTTTACATTTTCCTGAAGCCTTACTTGCAGAATATTGCACATAACCTTGCTGGCATGTGAAATGAGCACAGTTGTTTGGCAATTTGAACATTCTTTGGCATTGCCTTTCTTTAGGATTGGGATGTAAATTGATTTTTTTTTCAATCTAGTGGATACTGCTTTGTTTTCCAAATTTGCTGGCATATTGAGTGCATCACTTTAACAGCATCATATTTTAGGGTTTTAAATATCTCAGCTGGAATTCTATCACCCTCCATTAGCCTTATTGTTAGCAATGCTTCCTTAAAGCCCATTTGACTTTATCCTCTAGTATATCTGGCTCTAGATCAATAACTACACCATTGTGGTTATCACCGATGTTAAGATCTTTCTTATATAATTCTTTTGTGTTTGCTGTCTTTTATTATGTTCATTTTTGCACAAAACATTCCCTTGTTTTTTTAATTTTCATGAAGAGATCTGTCTTTCCCATTCTATTGTTTTCTTCCATTTCTTTGCATTGTTCACTTAAGGAAACCTTCCTATCTCTTCCTTTATCCTTCACCTTTTGCTTTCTTGCTCTTCATTTTCTTTGAAATGTTTTTTGTTGCTTCTCCTATACAGTATTGCAAACCTCTGTCCATAGTTCTTCTCACACTGTAGCTATGATATATAATTCCTTCAATCTGTTCATCACCTCCACTTCATATTCATCAGGGATGCTATTTAGGTCATACCTATATGGTCTGATGGTTTCCCTACTTGCTTCAATTTAAATCTGAATTTTACAATAAGAAGCTCATGATCTGAGCCACAGTCAGCTCCAGGTCTCATTTTAACTGACTGTTATAGAGCTTCTCCACCTTTGACTACAAAGTATATAATCAATCTGATTTCTGTATTGACCATCTAATGATGTCCATGTGTAGAGTCGCCTTTGGGGTTATTAAAAAAGAGTATTTGTTATGACCAGTGAGATATCTTGACAAAACTCTATTAGTCTCTACCCCACTTCATTTTGCACTCCTAGGCCAAATTGCCTATTATTCCATTTTTTTCCTGATTTCCTACTTTAGCATTCCAATCCCCTATCATGAATGTGACATCTTTTTTTGTTCTTATTTCTAGAAGATGTTGTAGGTCTTTATAGAACTGATCAACTTTGGCCTCTTCATCATCAGTGGATGAAGCATAGACTTATATTACTTTGATGATGAATGGTTTGCCTTGAATTCAAACAGATATCATTCAGTCATTTTTGAGCTTATATCCAAGTACTGTTTTTCTCACCATTTTATTGACTATGAGGGCTCCTCCATTTCTTTTAAGGGCTTCTTATCTACGGTAGTAAATGTAGTGATCATTTGAATTAAATTCACCTATTCCCATCCATTTAAGTTCACTGACACCCAGGATGTTGATATTTAAGCAGATGCTTCTACAGCTGAGCTTCCTTTCAGCTTTGGCAAGCCGCTTTGTTAGTCCTAGAGCTAATTGTAGCTGTCCTCCACTCTTCTCCAGTAGCATATTGGACACCTTCTGACCTAAGGGGCTCATCTTCATTGTCGTTTCTTCTATCATTTTAGTACTGTCCATGGGGTTTTCTTAGCAAAGATACTGGAGTGGTTTGTCATTTCCTTCTCTTTTGGATCACCTTTTGTGAGAACTCTCCATCATGACCTGTCTGTCTTGGGGAACCCTGCACAGCATAGCTTTAGTTTCCTTGAGCTACACAAATCCCTCCACCTTGACAAGGTAGTGATCTGGGGGAAAAATAATCATCAGTCAGCTGAAAACATGAAACTTAATCTTGGGAAAGAAGTTAGAGTTAGAACTTGATTTGGAAGTCTTTTAGGTAATGACTCCATTTTTGAAAGTATAAAAGATCTCAGAGGAGGAATATGTAACAAGATTGAGCAAGAAAAGACAAAGTTCTGGGGAAAGTCAACAGATTATCCCCTTATAGCTGAATTCTCATTCTGTTTGCTTATGGATACTTGAAGTTCTTGCCCAATTTCTATTAAGAAATTTGGTTGGCAAGTAACTTAATTTTACTTCTAAGCCTTGGGTTGAGGTGATTTGTAATGAACTTTTAAAATTATTTAGTTTCATGTATAAATGTAATAACAAAAATTATGTATAATTTTTGTCTTAACAGTGAGAAATCCTTACACAGGCCATAAGTACCTTTGTGGGGCACTTCAGTCTAGCATTGTTCTGTTAGAATGGGTTGAACCAATGCAGAAGTTTATGTTAATTAAGGTAAGCATAAAAGGCTAGCCTTTATAATTCTTAATACAAAAAGGCTAATGGTCTGATTTTTACTAAATTTCATATCATAAAATCCACAAAATATCTCTTCCTAGTTGTCATATGTTATTTGATTATTTAAAATTGTATGGCAGATTGGTGAAAACCTTTCCATTTTCAGAAATTCAGTTGTCCCAATGAAGAGTACTCTTGGGCTGGAGAAATTTTATGTGAAAGTTTAAAAAGTAGATGGAAAAATTAAAAATTAGTTATATTCGCAGCTATTGATGAAGTATGGGAACAAAGCTAGGAAACTGAGCCTGGTTTATATGTGACTAAAGCTATCATAATAAAGAGTCCCTTGCAGATTTGTCCTTTGGCCAAGAAACAGAAGATGGCTCAGGGTAAAATATTCAGATCATTTTGTCAAAGAATGTTCATTTGCCATGGGGCAATCCACAAATTATCCTAAAAAATTAGGTTCAGAGATTCCCAAGTCTTTTAATTAATGAATATTAATACATTTTATGCTATCCTAACATGCTTATTTAAAACTTGGATGACAAGTATTCAGAATGTTGAAGTTATAAATTGTTCATGTGATGCCAAATGAAATAGTAATTGAAATTTCTGAAACATACTATCATAATTTAATAATTATTTCCTTGTTGCTTGATATCTTGATAGAAATTACTTCAGATAGATTTAGAATGGATTCTTTATAACAGATTCAGATGGTCTTATGTTTAAAGTATTATTGTTGTTCGGTTGTGTCTAACTCTTGATCCCATGGACCATAGCACACCAATACTCTCCATGGGATTTTCTTAGCAAAGAGACTGGAGTGGTTTGCCATTTCCTCCTCCAGTGGATTAAGGCAAACAGGGAAAAGTGACTTGCCCAGGGTCACACAGCTAGTAAGTGTAAGGCTAGATTTAAACTCGGGTCTTCCTGACTCCAGGCCCAGCACTCCATTGAGCCATCTAGCTGCCTCTATTTAAAATGTTACCTTCCCTCTTATTTTCAAGCTTGTAAATGCTTGAGATTTTTATTTCTAGTTTTCATGAAAGTTTATTAGCCTTGAGATGAACTGTGGAATTAGAGGAAAAGCAATTTCAGTAATATTAAATCCATTATTGTGATACAACAGTTAATATCTTCTCCAGGACTGGAATTTCTTTATAACAAAATCTGAGTTAAAAAAAAAATTTAATATATTATACAAAACTCTTTACTTTCATAATCACATATGAGAAAAATATTTCATAGGACAGCTTCTGTTTCTCCCATCCCAACTGAAAGTAAACAGGCTCTCCCCTAGGCCATATTATAAATCCTAGCAATACCTTATATTTGTACAGTACTTTATAATTTTCAAGGCACTTGAACATGCATTAGCTCTTTTTTTCTCACAACAACCACTTTATATAGGCTGGGTGGATATTATTGCCTCCATTTTACAGACAAAGAAACTGAGACCTGGAAAGAATAAGTAACTTGCCTGAGGTCACACAGTGAATAAACTAATGCCAGAACCCAGATATTCTCACTCCCTAGTCCAGTGTTCCTTCCAGCATACTGTGGTGTCTTTCTTCCTTTGCTCTGCTGGCATCATGTTCATTTCAGTTATGTTTGAATATGGCACTGCTGGGAAAGTGACATGGTGGGTGTGGGTAATGGCACATGAGGGGCTGAACCTCCAGTGCAGAACCTCCTGTCTTCAAAAACATTTGAGCAGATAACTCTGGGAATGCCATTTTACCTTAATTTTATTTCAGTAACAAAATTTCTTATTTGTGACTAGTAAGAATATTTACTTTCTGGTATATAAAATTATGATGACTCTTTTATTTTATTTTGCTTAACAGTATTTTTGTTTATTTCCCTAGCACATAGATTTTCCTATACCATGTCCACTTAGAATGTTTGAAATGCTGGTAGTACCCGAACAGGAATACCCTTTAGTTTGTGTTGGTGTTAGTAGAGGGAGAGATTTCAACCAGGTGGTTCGGTTTGAGACTGTCAACCCAAATTCTACCTCTTCATGGTTTACAGAATCAGGTTTGTGCATTTGTTTTTTATTGACTTCCTTCTTTCTGATAGACTTGCAAAATAAGTATCTGTTACACATTATTTTAGGCAAATTTGGCATAAGAAAATGTATATTTAAAGCTAAATTGTAGAGTTAGAAACTATTCAAGAGTTTTTGTTTTTCATTTGCACAAGAGATTCACAGTACAATACCTTTAAGTGCTTCTGATGAATTCAAAATGATTAAATTTAGTGAAATTTTACCATTTTTATGAACACCTCTTACATAAAATGAAGAATACCTGTACTATTCTAGTATAATCAGTAAGAAAAATGATGGTTTAAAAGAGTCCAGCAGTTAAATGTAACATATCTTAATTTTATCGTCTTCCAAGTATATACACAATATTTTACTGCCATGTTCATTCTTTTCTGTTTTTCCTTTTAAGATATTCATACTCTTAAAATTCTATTTTGAATGGTTTTTGTTTATGTTGATGAAAGATGACTGGTGTCTGAACGAATTCCTGTAATAATACCAAATTTTATCAGCACGTCAGATTTTTAAGATAGTCAATATAATGAACCATGTACATGTGTCTTTACCTAGAGAGCCCCAGTTGACTTGGCCATCCTCATCATCTTTCCATCAGAACTTGAGTTTTTTTACTGCTTACTTTATATTCTAAGATCTCTAAGTGTATTAGACAAAAGGATTGTTAAATTTTTTTATGTATCTAAGTCTCCAACTAATTAACAGGCTAGTCTGAATTAGCAAAAAAAAAATTTTAAGTGCAATTTATTATTTGAAGTATATATTGTAATTGAAACTAGACTATAAAGATATTATAGTGTAGGATTCCTTAGAGAAATTGCTTTATGGAATGGAAGTTTTTATTTGTAATAAATCTGTAAATTATGAGCAAATGATTTCTTAGGAAGCACTTTGAACTGTTTTAAGTCAGGATGTCCTTTTATCTAGTTTTAACATTTCCCCAAAATATCCTTGATGTGATCAATTTCTTAGAATCCTTTCTTTAAAGATTAAAGATAGTAAAGATGATGAACTTTATCTCAGCTCATGCCCAAATGTTTGCCAGTTTGGAATTAATGAGGTTTTAATTAATTAAACTTTACTTTTACTTCCTAAAGTAATAGAAGCTTCATGTTGATGCTGAACTTAGTAATAGTTACTTTGTACATTGTGGGTAACAAGAATTTGATGATAAATCAGTCATTTGGACTAAAATCTCTTTTAAAAAATATTTCCCTATGATATTTTAAAGCATAATGTTTCATTGCAAATAAATAGCTTGTTTAATTTTTGCATGTAACTATCTTGTTTCCCTTAGTTCAGTTTTTTTACTTTTCTGAGTTGGTTCCTTTGTGAAATAAGGGGATAGAACCTTAAAGGTCATCTAGCCCAGCCCCCTCATTTTACAAATGAAAAAAGAAAAAAAAAACCAAGGCCCTGAAAGGGTAAGTGTCTTTCCTCAGGTCATACAGGTAGTAAAAGGCCCAAATGGAATTTAAACCTAGGTCTTCTTATCCTTCACTCTTCCCACTTTGCCACACTATCTCTATTCTGTGATTGTGAATTTCGATTGTATTCTGCAATTGGGATAATTGTGCTCTAGAGGATTCAAAGAAACTTTTCCCTACCTGTAAGAAGACAAGCACTCAAATTAACTATGATAAGGCATAATATAGTAAGGGCCATATGAGAAATTTAGATTTGGAAAGAAATCGCTTCCAATTAGAAGAAACAGTAAAAACTTCAGGAAAAAGATGTCGTTGAGATGAACCTTAAGGTGGACAAGTTGAGGTAGCAAAGAGTTGTTCAGTTTCCTCAGTTATAGTCTGTAAAAGAGAATAATGAGAAATAGGGCTGTACCCTCAGGGGGAACCATCATCAACAAAGGAGTCAGAAAGTGACTAATAGAGGAGTATAAGGGGGGGATTGAAACTACCTAAGATCTCAGGAGTAAGAAAGCTCCGTTAAAAACCTTGAGCACACATTAAAAACCAACATGTAATATACTAATGACAAAAGGATCCTTTTAGACCATCTAAAACAATGTAGGCCACTCTAAATATCAAAAGGCAAAGGAAAATGTATCCACACCTGATGAGGTGGGGGGACCCTGTGGATTCCCCAAGAACATGGAACCACAGCCAGGCTTTCCCAATGGTTCAAATGAGATGTAGGACTGGAAAGATATGTTGGCTTTGAATTCTAGACTGAAGAGTCTGGGTTTCATGCGGTAGACAGCAGGAACCACTGAAAGCTTTTGAGCAAGGCGGTGATATTTTTTCCTTTCACTAAAAATGCCATTTCTGCCTCTCCTTAAATATAAGCAGAAAGAAACATTTTGAATCTTTTTCACCACGCACTCATTAAGTGCCTACAGTGTGCCAGGAGCTGTGTTAAACATTAGAGGTATAAAAACCAAGTGACTCCCTGCCCTAAGAGAGCCCACATTCTGCTCAAATTTAAATATGAGGTACTTTGAGGAGGAAACAGAGTACTACCGACTCAGGAGTTTACAGATGCCTTCAGTGATATTATGGGCACCTGAAATGAACTTTGATGAAAGCTAATGATTTTAGAGCACTTGTTTTAAAATAAGAAGTGGAGGTGAGGAGAGCTCAAGAGATACCGAAAATAAATTGAAAGTTCACAGAGGCACAGAAATGCCTCAGAAATGTACAAAGGAGACAAAATGCCAGTGACCCTTAACCTGTCTAGTCACAGGTTCCTATCATTCCCACTCCTTAGAAACCTAGTCTTCATCTTCATGGAGATCTCTGAAACCTCTGCTCCTCAGAATTCTTCCAAGATATCTATCACAACTGCTAGAGCTTCATCTTCCTCCTTTCCTAATATTGACCCTATAGTTAGTTAACTGTAGTTTCAGTATTCCTTTGTCTTCTACTCTTGAATTCCCTGCCCATTCATCCTGGTGCCCTTCCTGTTTCACCAAACCCCAGTCTAGGCTACTTTATCCACCTCCCCTGCTTCTACTCACATGCTGATAAGTAGTGCTAATGGAAGAACTACACTATTCACTGTCTGTGCTAGATTCACCACAAATTTATTTGATTTCAACTATGCCCTCACTGCAGCAAGGCAACCTTTTTAACAGCCAGCAGACAGAGCACTGGACTTGGACTCAGAAAGACCTGAGTTCAAATCCTATCTCAGACATAGATGAGAAAACTGAGGCAGAGAGAAAGGTGTTGTGACTTGCCAGGATCACCCAGCTAGTAAGTAGCTAAGACCAGATTTGAACTTGAGTCTTCCTAATTCTTAATCCAGCAGTCTATCTGCTGTACCACCTAGCTGCCTATATAGAATATTTCTGTTCAGTTTTTTGAATGATTAGTTAGACTCAGTACATGTCATTATGTTTAAAAGATTCAGTATATTCATATAACTCTTACCCAGGTCTCAAAAAGCATGGTTTTAAACTGTTATGTGTCCCAACCAGTGACTGGCAACTATACATAAAAGATCTGGGCACTCCCTCCCTCACTAATCATAGATAGGAATGGTGTCCTGGTAAATCTGGGGCACAAAGAGTTTATGTAACTTAGGCAGGGTCATTTAGGGAATGTCTGAGACTGAATTTGAATCCAGTTTTCCTGACTCACGGCCCAGTACTTTACCCACTATGCCATGCTGTCTCTACAGGTTGAAAGAAAACAAAAATGCCTATGAAATTTGTCACCAGCTTCCCCAATTTCCTTTCTTAATGCCTTAACCAATCTTTTCCGTGCACCTAGTTCTCTTTTCTGAACTGAAAATGATCTTACATCAATCATTTTGTACTTACTGAAGTAATTTACCTTTCTCAACCATTTGGATTTTTAATCCTTTGCCATAATGATATGAATTTCACAAGAGATAATCTCTCCAGCTAAGGAAATTTCACTTCCATGAAATCTAAAGTATTCCTAGTAATTTCTTGGGTGTAAATGGGTATGTATTCTGTCATCCTTTGTTCTTCTGGGACCTTTACCCTATCCCATATTTGGGTGTGTCAGGTAAGCCTCCAGAATTTCTGCTGCCTTGCGCTTTATGGTCACAGGGATATCTGGATGTTCTGTTGCAGAAGCTCTCTAGATAATGTCTTAAAAGAGGTCAACCAAGGCATCCGCGAAGGAAAATTCAAATGGATAAATAATCATGCCAAAAAATTGAATAAAAAGAGAGTATGATGAGAGTGTTGTTCATATCCACTACCTCAGTCATAGTCAAATATTAGATGAAGTTTATCCACCCCAAGAATAGCAAAATGTAAAAGAAAAAGTACATATACATTATGTACATTCAGACTTTATTGTGCAAATTTTTCTAATTCAATTCAGCATTCATCTCTAGCATTCACTGTGTGCGAGGCACTCTGCTAGTTGCTCCATTTTATTTAAATTGCTTTTTTTCCTTCTCTGAAGCCGTGTGTTGACCTTATAAGACTTGTTACATAGGTTTTACAAGCCAACAACAGCTTGTAATGAACTACAGAGAGCATGGTTACTATAGACAGTAGGGAAAGAATACCTTGATTGGCATCATATGAAAACTCTAACTGTTTGGAGCACATCAACAGTCTCCATTGCCAGTTTCTCTGATGAAAGGTAGAATAGGAATTCTTTTTAATGAGCCAAGTATTTTAGAACCAGATAAATAAGTAATTCCTGAAAAATACCTAAACATTTATCTGAAAAACTATAATAGTATGCATACTTTTTGAGTGCAGAGTACTGTGAGAAATTTGAGAGGGAGTAGGGCAGAATCAAGGAAATCCTTATCCGATAAGCAAGATAGGCTGTGAATTAAGAAAATTAAGGAAAGAAGGGATTTTCAAAAGATGAAGATGATGGTGAAGATTTCTGTTACAGCAATGGAAATAAGAGAAAGCAGGATGAGAACATGAAACAGTGGGTACTCCACTTAAACTAGAACAGGGAATGTGTTGAAGAGCAGTGGGAGATAAAACTGGAAGGATAGAATGAAGTATCTTAGATTGTTGAGACCTTGAATGACAATCTAACAAGGTTGTATTTTATTTAGTTTGCATTAGAGAACCACTGAAGGGTTTTGAGTAAAGGAATGCCACGATCAGAGCAGTACATTAAGACTATGCCTCCATGTACTGCATCCATACCTCATGCCTCCAAAATATTTGTAGCAGCACTTTTTGTTACAGCAAATAACCTGAAGTAACTCATAAATTGAGAAGTGGTTAGACATATTGTGACGCACAGATGTAATATTGCTATGCTGTAAGAAAAGATGGATGTGATGAGTACCGAGAAGTATGGGAGGACCTCCGTGGACTGATACGAAGTAAAATAAACAGACCCAAGAAAACTGAACACAATGGCTACTAAAATCTAAACATGACAGCTCCTACAAAATTAATATTACAAACTAAGATAAGAAATAAATGCTTCAAAATGATGAAGCTACAAAAAAAGCTATGAGAACACACCTCCCCCCACTTCTTTGCAAAGGTGAAAGGATCCATGAGTATGGAGTACTGCATATGATGTCAGATTTTTTCATTGTATCAGTCAGTTTTGCTGATCATTTTTCTTTTTTCCCTTTTAAAAAAAATCTCTGGAAGGAAAGGAGGTGTAGAAACAGAGGAGCAAATTTTATAGCAAGAAAAAAATATCAATGCATATTTATTTTTAGAAAGATTACTCAGGCAGTAATGTAAAGAAATGATTAGATGTTAGACTAGAAGCAAGAAGATCAATTAAGCTATCATAATAGCCTGAGTCAGAAGGAATGAGGACGTGAATTAGGATATTGGAATAGAAAGAAGATGGTTATGAGATATACTGTGGAGACAGAATTGAGGGGACCTGGAAAGTTTATTAGATATAGATAGTGGGGGAAAGAGAAGAATCAAAATTTGGGTAACTGGGAAGATGGTGATGTCATCAACAGAAATAGAAATTAAAAGTAAAGACAGGTTGTGTGGGGATAGTTGATAAGTTTAGTTTTAGAATAAATGGAATATCAAACCGAAAATATCAGTTACTTGGAAATACAGAACTGGAGTTCTAGGAAGAGAGTAGGAGAGATGACATATAGACATCCTCATAGGAATGATCATTGAAACCATGGAGATAGATGAAGTTGCCAACAAGAGAGATGATAGAAATGAAAGCAAAAGGCTGCCTTCTGAAACCAGTGTTTAGGGAGTGAAAAGAGGGCAGTAGTTCTCAGAGATAGCGGGAAACTCCTAATAGATCTGTAATAATGTCACACAAGCCAGGGAAGGAAGAAAACATCCATAGCACAGAAGGGGACACAGTAAAGCAGGGCAGTGTGGATATTGTATTAAGTTGTAGAAATACTTTTTTTTTTCTTTTAAGACCTTTATGTAATGGAGAGTGACAGTTTCATAGGCAGTCCTTTTTTTCTGTCATCTATTGTGTGTGTAGTAAATTATAAAAGTTAATTGTATGTTAATCTAAATCTTTTATTGTAGACACACCACAGACAAGCGTTATACATGTAACCCAACTCGAGAGAGATACCATTCTTGTATGCTTGGATTGTAAGTGATTTTTTTTGTTTCATTTTTAAGTGGTTGGTTTTAAACTTTGTATTTTAATATACTGCTTATTTATCTTAATATGTAAGTCAATTTCTTTTTTCTCTAGGTTGTATTAAAATAGTAAATCTACAAGGCAGATTAAAATCTAGCAGAAAATTGTCATCAGAACTTACATTTGATTTCCAGATTGAATCAATAGGTAAGCAAAAGTTTTGTTTTTCATGCTTTTAATTATAATAGGAAATATTTCAAATATGTTTGAGTAACCACTGCCGAAGCAGCCAAGCAAAATGGATAGGGGACTTACCCTTGCGTCAGGAAGATGTGGGGTTAAGTCCTGCCCCGGGCCCATACTGGCCATGTGACCTTGAGCAAGTGACTTTAAGAGAGTTTCAGACCAATCTGCATCAATGGAGGAAGTTTCCATAACTGGAGTTCCCCATGCTGCTAAAAGCATAGCTCTGTGTTCCCTCTTCCTTCTATAGCTTAAAAAAATCTCATTATTAATATTTCACAGTAATTGTTAGATGTAGCTAAGGGCTTAGTGAACAAACTATTACAACAAGATATAGAAGAGAGGTCAACACAGAACTCTTTATATATGTAATATAGCTCAATTTGTTTACATCACTTTTCATAGAATTATAACTAGCCAAATTAATAGATTCTATAGAATTTGATTATGTCATATGTTAAAATATATCCTGAAATTTTTTCCTAGTAATTACATAGAAATAGAATTTTTGCATGGTAGAGTGTGGACTGTATGCACACTGGCTGAGGAATGAGAGGACCTGGGAGGTTCTGTTCCTACATCTGAGGCTATCCGATCCTCAGTCTCCTCATCTGTAAAAATGGAGAGTATGAACTAGTTAGCCTAGTTCAATGATCTTTCGGTGAATGATCCTAAATTTGCGGTTTCTTAATGTGTTTTTGTGACTTACAGTTCACTAGACTTTGATATCTGCTTTTATGTAATATTTTATCACCAAAATGACTACAGCTTAAATATCTAATCACTTTTTCATGCAGACTTGACCTTTAAAGAAGGAATATTTATTTACTTAAAAATCTCTTATTATAACACAAACATTAAAATATTGCTCTACCTCTCCTCTAAACTGTAGCTCTTCTAACTGGCCTCAGCCCAAACCAGATTAAAATGTAATTGGGAAATGTTTAACAAAAATAAATAAAAATACAGTGCAACGTAAAGAATGTTAATTTGAGGTTTCCTTAGTCAATATGAGCCTGCAGAGCTCCATTTCTATTTGAGTTTGACACCACTGGTCTACATCACTCTATGGCATGGACTCAGTCCATAGCTTATGAACTGCAGACCCCTGAAGAGCCACACACGTACATCAACATTTCTCACTTTTTTCAGCATGGATTTTCTCAATTAATGAACACTTAATAGCGTGGGAGTCTACAAAATCTTTTGACCTTAAAAAGGGATCCTTATAATAAAAAAAGACTGAGAATCACCAGTCCACACCATCCTATTCTCATTCATTTAACAAGTATTTATTAAGTTCCTACTATGTGCAAACAACATGTTAGGTGCTGAGGATACAAATTTAAAAACCAAGTAGCTCCTGCCTTCAAGTGGTTGACTGTGTGCTGCAGGAGCCTGATATGTGAGAGTGTCCCTCACAGAGAGGATGCCTGAACTGAACACCACAGTGTGAATGAAAAGACAAGTATGAAGCTACAGCCTGTGCGATTATAACGATCGGTCTTGTCCCTGAAGGACAGTCATGAGAATAGGACGTTGCATAGTTTTGCTGACATTTTTGGTTACAAGGGATGACTCTTGGGGGAGAAGAATATTTTAAAACAAAATGCTAGAAAGATATTTAAAACAAAAGGTGGAAAACAGTTTTGTCAAAGAAAGAAACTAGCCTTAGAATCTGATGGCTCTGGTGTAGTCTCAGCTTTGCTTCTCACTGTGTGTGACCGTGGCCTAATCACTTCGTCTCTCCAGTCCTCAGTTTCTTCATTTGTTTAAAAAACAAACACAGTTTGGAGAGGGAGGGAGGAGAAGAGTCATACTGGATCAGGGGTAGGATACTAATCCCTGCATAATAATCCCTTTGGGCTACATATTGATTCTGTTTTTAAACATGATGTTTTATTGTATTTTTATTTATTTTGTTAAATATTTCCCAATTACATTTTAATCTGTTCTGGCCCATGTGCTGCCCAGAGTTTGCCACCTCTGGACTTTCTAAGGTATCTTTCAGTTTGAGAATCTGCGTCTTTTTAGCTAGTAAAACATCATTGATGTCTGGGGCTGCATTGTGCACACTGCTATAGCTCTGTACAAATAGAATTGATTGTGAATGTGTCACAGCTGAAAGCTCTGAATTAAGCACATATCTTTTAATAATTAGCAAATTATCAGTATTTCTGATTTTAGCATAATAGTTTAATTTATTTCAGATTGTTAGCAAAATTATAAAGCAAGCTACCTTTCATTCTTTTCCCCAAAATTAATGGTTTTAGCTTTTCTTTGTTTGTGGTAGGTTTAAAAAAAAAACTACTGTATGTGCTAACAGCCTTATGAAAGAAATGATTGGAATAAAGACAGGAAAGATTCAATTAATTTGCAATTTAATTTAGTGATCACATATTTACTGCGTTCTATGTGCCTCACACTTTGGAGAATACAAAATCTATATATTGATTCTAACTGGTTGTTTTATAAATCTTATCTTCTCCCAAAAGTCTACAAAACTCAAAGGTATGGATGATACAGACACACACTCACATACACACACACATACACACACACACACCCTACACCCCTGAATTATTAAAGATGTCTACATCTTTAGTATAATATTTTGACATTCTTTTTTTCTTACACTCCAGATGTTGATTTGAAGTTATTGAAAACTTATTTTGAATATAGCTCTTAGTACTATGTATACATTTAGTTTTCACTTGATGTTATGCTTACAATGAGGAACCAGAAGTCTCCCGTTATCTTCGGAAAATGTCAGATTCTTCATCTTAATGTTCAGTGCTCCCAATAGCCTAGCCTCACCTTACTTTATAATGTTCCCTAACTCTTTCCTAAGTTTTGTATTATGAGGCAGCAGATGACCATGGTACATCAACAACAAGCTCTTTAGAACTGAGTTTGGCCCAGAGGCCGCCTTCATTCTTTCCTTCCACACAGACCACATGAGAAGAGACTTCTTATTCCTACATCTCTTATGCTAAGGGATAACCTTTGTGTGTTGGTTCCCAGTGATCTCTCCCCCTCCTGACATCCCATTGCTCACATACAGATGTGTCTGTGTCATGTGCTGCGGCAAGTGATTCTGTTCTTTCTGTATCATCCTTTGATTGTAGCATAAATCTTCTCATCTCCCAAGAACTACAGTTTTTAACAACTATGTCTGCCATTATTCAGAAAGAATTACAAATAAGGAACTTATAATTCTGATGGTCATCTTATGAAAAATTCTTCCCTCAAATAGAAACATTCCATTTTGTTTTGTGGGATGGGAATGTAGCTTGTTAGATTTATTAGAGAATCAGAGAATCTCATATTTGAGTGGACCTAATCACCTGATCTAACTCATATCTGATTAGAAATCGCCTTCCAAAATCCATGTTTAATATACAAAATGTATTTTATTATTTATCCTTTCAAAATACCATCTCTCATTTTTATCCTGCTTATATTTTAAATGAAGCAAATTAATGATAAAAATTATTGTAACTGCTGCATCCAACAAACTTATTTCAGATTTTTTTTTTACCACTGCTGATTTCTAAGTCTTCATTTTGTTTCTAGAAACATCTATAGGTCTTTTTAATGTTAAGAGACAATTAAAGGGCAAAAATCTCATATATAGGGTGATACTGGGAAGTAGTACTAAAAATTAGTTTGTGTTTACACATGCTTTCCTTTGGCTATTTTATATCAGAAAAAACAAAGGTAACTTTTAGAAAGCTGCCTGTGAATTTCATTCTTTGCATATTCTATGCTCTTCTTTCATCTCTCTTCCCCATGAATAGATATGAGAAAGAGATTTAAGGGTATACAACCTTTTTTTACATATGTAAGTGATTTTTTTCCCCTCGTATTACAAAAGCAGTTATACTAGTTAGTGGTAGATCAAAATACTACCAATAAAGACAGGTAAGAAGATAGAAATATGCTTATCAATTGAACATTTGTATGATTAACAGTAATTGAGCTTTCTTGCCTGCTAGTTTGCCTACAAGACAGTGTGCTAGCTTTCTGGAAACATGGAATGCAAGGAAGAAGTTTTAGATCAAATGAGGTAAGTGATGTTTCATTTTGGGGCTATGAGGTTATCAAATTTAAAATAATCCTATCTAGTTGTTTTGAGGAAGGAAGGCCCAATTCGTGAAAGTTAACAGTTGATATGCTGGTTTTATAAACATTTCATATATTTAAGGAAGCATATATGATTTCATATACAAAGGTAGAAAAGAGATAACATTCAATTAAGCAAATATTTATTAAGATCTTATGTTCATGACAGTTTGTCAAGAATTAGAGATATAAAGACAGAAAGTGAATAGTACCTACCTTCAAGAAATTTACATGGATTGCACTGGAGAGAGGGGATACAAACATACAAAAAGTATATGTAATGTGATTTCTAACAGGAGACAATGGCACCTGAACCATACTTTGTATGAAAGAAGTGGGGTATTCTCAGAGCCTGAGATGAGGAAAGAAGACATTGAAGGTTTCAGTGCCAGAACAAGGTCTTAATTAATGGACAAAAGGAACTTTTCTACTTATAAGGAAGTTACTACCTGGGCTTTGGGCATACCCATATACACACATACATACACACACACACACACACACACACACACACACACACACACACACACACACGTACGCATACATACATACATACATACATAATATCTAGAAAAGTAGAATCAGATTGTGGACAACCTTAAATGCTCACGTTTTTGTTTTAAATAAAATTTTATTTTTGTTTTATTTAAGCAAAAGAAATTAACAAAAGTACTTACTGTCTTCTTTTCTTGATTGAAGCCTTTTAATATGACCTCACTGGCATACTTTGTGATAACTAGTTGTTAATCCTATTAAAAGATCCACATCTTGAGTCTGACCTCCATATGGACCAGATAGAGTTAAGTAGCTATGTTAATAAATCAGGTCTTCAACCAGTACCCCAAAACAATTGAAGTACATGACCTACCAATTATGAGGCAGTAGTACCATCTTTATAGAAGATTTATTTTTAACATTTCTGGAAAAAAAGACCCCCAGAATGTGCCTTCACCTTTCCCATTCTTCAGTGGCTAGAACAAAAACGCTGTTTGTTGATTCTATCTATCCTGTTGCCTGTTTTTAACTTACGTTTTAAGAGTCTTGGCCTATTCTTCATTTCTAAAATATATAGAGAATTAAGACAAATTTATAAGAACACAAACCATTCCCCAATTGATAAGTGGTCAAAGGATATGAACAGACAGTTCTCAGAGGAAGAAATTAAAGCCATCTATAGTCATATGAAAAAGTGCTCTAAATCATTATTGATTAGAGAAACACAAATCAAAACAACTCTGAGGTACCACATCACACCTATCAGATTGGCCAACGTGACAAAACAGGAAAATGATAAATGTTGGAGAAGATGTGGGAAAATTGGAACACTAATACATTGTTGGTGGAGTTGTGAAATGATCCAACCGTTTTGGAGAACAATTTGGAACTATGCCCAAAGGGCTACAAAAATGTGCATACCCTTTGATCCAACAATAGCACTTCTAGGGCTATATCCCAAAGAGATCAAACAAATGGGAAAAGGACCCACATGTACAAAAATATTCATAGCAGCTCTTTTTGTGGTGGCAAAGAATTGGAAATTGAGAGGATGCCCATCAAGTGGGGAATGGCTGAGCAAGTTGTGGTATGTGAATGTAATGGAATACTATTGTGCTATAAGAAATGATGAACAGGCTGACTTCAGAAAAACCTGGGAAGACTTATATGGTCTGATGCTGAGTGAAGTGAGCAGAACCAAGAGGACTTTGTACACAATAACAGCCACATTATGCAATGACTAAGAATGTTAAACTGAACCCTTCTCAGCGTTACGAGGATCTAAGACATCTCCAGAGGCCTCGGGTTGGAAAATGCTGTCCACATCCAAAGAAAGAACTATGGAAGTCAAATCGCTATCACTTATTTTTACCTTCTGTTGAGTTTTGTTTCATCTTTCTGATGGTTCCTCCTATTGGTTTTAATTTTTACTTACAACTTCACTAATGTGAAAATACGTTTAATGGGTATGTAAAAAAAAAAGAGTCTTGGCCTGTTGGGACTTTAAAAGGATGGAAGGTACCTGTCTTTCTTCAACTCTTCCTAATTCAATCACCTGCTCAGTTCTTACTCAGACCCACCATAAGATTTTTTAAAAATCTCTTCCTCCCATCTTCCACCTCAACTTACAGCTATTTCTCCAGTTTTCCTCCACATCCACAACATGGCATTCAGCCTTCCACCACGATCATCCCACTTACTCATCACTTGTTATCATTTTTATCTACTCCCATGTGGAGTGATAGATTTATTTGAATTTGTTTTCTAGCCCCAAAAGTCTTCCTCTCCCTTTTCCCCTGTAAGCTTCAACCATTTCCTAAGTTCCAACCAGTGGAATTGATCATTTAGAGTGAGTCATTAGAGTGAGAACCTAGGATTCTACAGGAGAGGAAAGTAGCTGAGTAGTTACCCATCTAATCCGTAATTCTTTTAGCTCACTATATTCTTTCTGATGAATTATGTCAACATATTTGTGTTTGCAAGCAGGATAAACTTTAGTATCACGCAGTTTTTATCAGCCCAGCAAATTTAAGAGACAGCCTGTTTCAGTGCCCAAGTTATCATGTTGTTGTTGGGGTTGGTTTCTTTTTTTTTTATTCTTTAGCATCCATTTTGTTAGCTTATTGACCATAGTAGGCCACCCATCCTGACTGTCTAGTAGAGCACTGATCTTAAGGACTTTGGTAGAAAGCATATGTCATTTTAAATTGTTTTAAGAAGACAATGTTTAGGGAACTATAAATTTTTCAAGAAACATTTCCTTCTTTAGCCTTTTCTGTAACTAAGTTGAGGTATTATACCAAATAGCTTTTTTTTAATCAGTATATTTTCCTTCCTGTTATCTACAAAAGTATTCAATGTTGGGCATTTTAAAAGAGACTCTCTTAAGATCTACTACTGTTCAATAAATAGCTTTTCATATTCCATTATTATAAAACTAGTTCAAATATTGCCTTTGGGAATACAGAGCTCTTTTAATGATCTCAGACTTTTCCTTGAAATAAAGACTCAATACCAAGATTTAATAACAGTTTAATACCAAGATTCTATTCAGTGTTATTGTCTCTAAAGAATTAAAATTGAGTATTACTAAAAATTATAGTGGAAAGTGGATGGTAAGTATGAACACGTTGAAACTCATAATAAGAAAATATGAAAAAGAACCAGAGAAAAGAATAATATTGAAGAAATATATGATTGAAAAAGTTGAGTTGATCATATAGTGAGAGCAAGGGATGACCAATTAAGAGCCCAAAGGCTACCCTGGCATCCTTGTTATGTCAGGGGAAAAGCAAACAAAACCCCAGCATGCTAGGGTAAGCCCCTTGGCAAACTGATCTAGACAAGCAAGGGTTGCACAGGTGAGTTTTGGCCACAGCATTTGGGGAGCATACACATCAGTAAAATCACAAATCCATTTGTGTAGGAAGAACTCAGGTCTTCAAGTCAGAAGCCTTAAGGTCAATGTTAACCCAGGATGAGTTCAGTTCAGTAATCATTCAGCAATTTCAGCTTACTCATCGGTAAAATGAGAATAATGTGCTCAGTTCACAGAGCTGTAACATAAGCTCTTTGTTAACCTTAAAAGTAGTAATAAAAACAAATGTGGCCTATTCTTCCCAGCTTAACACTTACCTATGCTGACTTAGTAATCTGACAGTCAACCAGGGATACAGCTAATCCTTAGGAATAATATGTTCTTTATCCTTATGTGTTATAAATGAACCGATTACTTTGAATTTTATAACTTTAATTTTAAAAGCCATTCTCTATTTTAATTGTACAGATAACACAAGAAATTTCAGATAGTACAAGGATTTTCAGGCTTCTTGGATCTGACAGGTATGAAAAATTCACGTGTGATATGTTTTCTTTCCCTCTGAAATAAAAATCTTTAAATGATATGCTAATCAAGACCTTGCTAAGCCTTGTATCTCTTACACTGTAAAAGTTAACAATCAGCTCTTTGGAAATGAGATGGAACTGTCTCTGTAGTAAGTGGTTTCAGAGTAACCTCTGCTCACAGAGTCAGTAAATGATAGCTACGTAGTAAAAGAAAGCACCTTCTCACTAACATTAGCTTTCAAAAATAACTTTCTGTTTTGTTTTCATTACTTTATAGGGTCGTGGTTTTGGAAAGTAGGCCAACTGATAATCCTACAGCCAATAGCAACTTGTACATCCTGGCGGGTCATGAAAACAGTTACTGAGAAATGTTGTGCATGACACTTATGTATCATAGAAAGAGAACACTACTGCTGCAACATGAATGGATGCTTGAAGCTATACACAAGCTACAGTCCCCTAGCTTCAGTGACTTTGTAATTTATTGTGGCATGAGACAAAGAGGAGGAGAAATGTTGTTTGTGTGGTATGGATGTGTCGAGCATGTGTACCACACCAGTGCTTCATTCACTAGTATGTAATCTTTGTACATAGAGGCAGTATTTTTCAGTGAAACTTGATAGTACTGATGACATACACTAAGAATTGATGTAGATAATGGTCCTTTTATGATGTACAAGTGTCTTATCTGTACAGATGTAAAGGTTGATGCAAAAAGGCCGTTGGGGGTACTACTTTAAGAACTCCTCTTTGGGTGTGGTTATATTATAAAATAGGATCCTGGCAATGAACACATCTAACAACACTATTGTGTTTTTATTATGTAATTTAGTAATACAACTATAAATCTTGTAACTTTTAAAATTGTAACCGAGGCTGAAATCATTTTATAATCTTGGTTTTTTTTTATTTTAATGCAAGTACACTGGTGTTTATATTTGCACAAAGTATTGATATGTGATGTATTGAGTCACAAAAGTAAGCTGTGACATTGTCAATATGCATTGGGCTTCAAAATACCTTTTAAAAACTTATTTGGTGGTTTTCTTTGTGAAACAAACCAATTAACCACCTGTCGTAGTAACTGGTCTTTTTTATATTTAAGCAAAATTCTTTAAGATTGCTTCTCTGCTTAAAAAAACAATACCTTCCAGAATAGGTTTGGATCACAGAATAGCGGTACCATGATATAACACTGCAATCATTGTTTGAATTATAGCATACACAATGATAAAATTAGCATTATTGAAAAGAGTCCACACTAAACATTTCATATAATCACATTGAAGAACTATAACATTCCATAGAGTGAAGTGGTTCAAATTTCCTGTTGTATTTTTACTTCTTTTGGCCTTTTGATCATTTTCATATTTGTTTTGATTTAGTGTTAACACATGGCCAAAATAATTTAGTTACTACCTCATACAGACAAATAATGGTTACTACACATCACAGGAATTTAGTTTTGGTCAAAGTTATCTTTGATTGCTATTTTCCAATGGAATATGTATATACCAAGTTTTAGTAAAATGCACACTTTGACTCTTTTTTTGTATATGTTCTTTATATTTTAATGTGAGTATATACACTAAGATCAAACTAAATTGTGATTTATGGTCTTCATTAATGTGATTGGTAATGCTTTTGAATATGTTCCTTATTGTACATATTGTAAAATAAAAATGTTTTTTAACATGCTGTTGTATAGTAACTTGTCATCAGCATTAATTTTTATAAAATGCCATCAGCAAATGTTCATTAAATGCCTGCTATGTGTTAGCCACTATTCTAGGCATTGAGATGATAAAAACAAAAGTGAACCCAATCCCTGTCCCCAAGGAGGAGGCACATACCATATAGAGGTATATGGAAGGTACAGGGTACCTTCTGTAAAAGATATAGGGTGATCTCAGGGGATGCACTGACAGATGGGAAGATCAGGAAAGGTTACATGTAAGAGATGGTGCTTGAACTAAGTTTGAAGAAAAGTAGGAATTTGGCCTCTATCAACTTAAGTAGTAGATGGAATGTCATGTAGTAGGGTGATGATTAAGATGACTGGTTTGGGTGGACCAGAGACTGTGTGAAAGTGCAGTAATGTACAATGAGACTGGAAAAGGGCCAGCTTGTAAAGGACTTTGAATGCCAGAATTAATTATATTTGATCTTTAAAGGAATAAGAAGCCATGAGTTTGAGTAGAGAGTGACATGGATGGTCAAGGCTGAGCTTTAGGAAAAACCATTTTGGCAGCTGTGTGGCGAATGTATTGGGTTAGGGAGAGAGCTAAGGTGGGGATATCAGTTAGGAGGCTGTTGCAAAAGTTCAGGTAAGATGATAGGAGCTTAAACTATGGTGGTGACCCTGGGAGTAGGAAGAAGACCTGTGAAAGATGGAGAGAGAAACAAGATTAGCAGCTAACATGGGGGATGAGTGAGGAGCCGGGGTTGTGAACCTCAGTATCTATAAAGATCATGCTGCCCAAAATAGAAATAGGAAAGTTTGGAAGAGGGGAGGATTGGGGAAAGATAATGTGTACTATTTGGGATATGTTAAATTTGAGATATGTTAAATTTGGATATGTCTATAGGAAATCTGGTTTGAAATGTGGTGATACAGAACTGGAGCCCAGGAGAGAAAGTAGAGCTAGCTGATATTGTAGCAGCAGCCTAGAAATGATGATTAAACCCTTATGAGCTGACCGAGTCACCAAGAGAGTGTGGAGAGAAGAATACGGGAGCCTGAAAAGAATAGTCACACGCACAAACAGAAGGAGAACCAGGAAAGGGCAACATTAAAACAAAGCCAAAGCTTTGAGGTTTAGTTTTGTTTTGTTTCTTTCTCAAATGGTGGGGAGGGAGAGAATTTGTAATTAAACACTCATTAAGCATCTATGGTATCCCAGGCATTGTACTAGGCACTGGGGATATGGAGAAAAGAGACACATGATGTCTTGGGGATCTTATGTTTTATCAAGGGAAAAAACATGTAGACATAGGTATATATGCAAAATAAAGAAGACAGGGAAAGGGGGCAGTCTTAATAGCCAGGGCCAGAAAAGCCTTCTTGTAAAAAGTCACATGAGCTGTCAGGGCTGGACTAGTAGATCTGAGAGTCATCTGCATAGAGATGCTCATGGAAACCACTGGCACTGATGAGATCACCAAGTGAAATTGTATAGGAGAAGAGGGTTCAGGACAGAGCAGGAGGCCACGGGCACACACAGTTAACAGGCCATGGATGAAGATCCATCAAGTGAGACAGAGAAGGAGTGGTCAGATTGGAGGAAAACCAGGAGAAAGCAATGTCACAAAAACTTAGCAAGAAGAGAGAAGTAATGTGTAATAAAGTTGGAAAGGTAGGTTGGGGCCAGGTTGTGAGCTTTAAATTCCAAACAGAACAATTTCTATTTGATTTTAAAAGTAATAGGCCATTGGAATTTTTTGAGTAAAAGAGGTGACATATTCGTTTCTGCACTTTAAGAAAACCACTATGGCATCTGGGGGTGGGGAGAGGAGTGCAAGAGACAGCAAATAGCTACCAATTAGGGCATCGTGATTGTCTCGGCAAGAAGTGATGCAGACCTGAACTACTGGTCATGTGAGTGTAAAGAAGATCTATGTCAGAGTTGTAGAGAGAGAATTAAGATTTGGCAACTGATTGAGTAACTAATAATTATGATAGCTAGCAAACTATGTACCAGACATTGTACTAAGCACTTGACAGACATTATCATTTGATCCTCACCACAACCCTGGAAGGTAGGTACTAGTATTATCCTCATTTTACATGTATGAAAACTGAAGCAAACAGGATGAATCACACAGCTAATTAAGTGTATGAGGGGAGATTTGAACTCGGGATTCCCAGCTCCAGGTGTAGCATTCTGTTGTTTCACCTAACTGCTTTCAGATATGTGGGATGAATCAGCATGAGAATTCATGAGTGAAGCTAAGATTGACAAACCAGGTGACAGAAAAGATAGTCACGCCCTCAATAATAAATGAGGAACACGGCAGGAGGAGGGGCTTGAGGTAAAAGGTAACAAATTCTTATTAAAGGTAATGAATGTATTGATGTTGAGGTCCCTACAGAGGATATCCAGTTGGGAATGTCAGGACTGGAGCTCAAGAGATAGACTCAAGCTAGATACATCAATCTGGAGGCATCTGTGTAGAAATAATTGAATCCAGGAAAGTTGATGTCACCAAGGGAAAAAACAGACAAGCAAAAAGGTTCCGGGTCAGAGCCTTATGGTAGAGTCACCATTATGAAGCATAATATGGGTGATGATCTAGCAAAGGAGACTGAAAAGGAGGTGTTAAACAAAAGACCCAAGAAAGCAGGCATAAAAGTCTAAGGAGGAGAAAGTATCTTGAAGAAGAGGGTGATGCCAACACTGTAACACGTCAAAAGAGGGATGCTTGAGAAATGACCATTAGACGTGGCAATTGGGAAATCATTAGTCCAAAATATTTATTGTAGCACTTTCTGTGATAGCTAAGAATTGGGAACAAAGCAGATGCCTACCAGTTGAAGAATGGCTGAACAAATCTTGGAACATTTGAATGTGGAACATAATCCAGTGAAATACTGTGCTGTGAGAAATTGTGGGGCAGCTAGGTGACGCAGCAGATAGAGCCCTGGCTTTGAAGCCAGGAGGACCTGAGTTCAAATCCGGCCTCAGACCAAACACTTGACACTTGCTAGCTGTGTGACCCTGGGCAAGTCACTTAACCCCAATTGCCTAAAAAAAAAAATTGTGATACAGAGGATCATGCAAAGATCCACATGAACTGATGCAGCTTGAAGTAAGCAGAACCAAGAAAACAATATATCCAATAATTAAAACAATGCAAGTGAAAGGACACATCCCCAAATCAGAAGTAAATGTAACAAAATTATACAGACAAGAGGACTCAAGAATGAAAGCTATGGGAGGACACTTCCCACCCACCCTTTCTTGGCTGTGGGAGATGTCCATGTGTTACACATTGCATGTTTTTCAGACTTTTCCAATGTGCTGGGGGGTTTTCCTCTCCAAAAAAAAAAAGTACCATTTGTTCTATAGGATAGCTCCTGGGATGGAGAGGGACATAACTGTGATGGTTTAAGAAACAAAATATATCGATAAAAACTTATTTTTAAAAAGAAATCATAGGTAACTTTGAAGAGAGGTTTAAATTGAGTGCTGAGGCTGGAAACAAAGTTTCAGAAGGCTTAAAAGAGTGAAAGGAAAGAAAGTAAAGGCAACAAGTCTAGAGCTTTTTCAAGTTTGGCTGAGAAAAAGAAAAGAGATAAGACAATAGCTCTTCCAAGTATATGGAGTGCTGACCTCAGACTTAGGAAGACCCGAGTTCAAATCCTCCCTCAGACACTTAGCCACTGTATAACCACGGGAAAGTCACTAAACCTCAGCCTTAGGTTCCTGTGTTTCATGTAAATGGGAATAACAGTGTCCCTTACCTCATTGAGTTGTTGGGAGAACAAAGTGAGGTGACATGCAAAATGCTTGGCAAACCTTTAAGTACTAGGTAAATTTTAGCTCTTAGGATTTAATGAGGGTTTTCAAGGGTGGGGAAGACATGTGTTGTTTTTTTTGTTTTGTTTTTGTTTTTGTTTTTGAATAGGCAGCAGGGAAGAAACCAGTAGGTAGAGAGGGATTGAAGATTGGAGGGAGAGAAGATCATGGTGGAGACAGTGTGCTAAAGAACCTGTGAGAGGATGGGCCTGAGGACACATTGAGAGGGGTTCCTTGGTGAGGAGAAAAGCCATGTCCAACATCATCAGGTTGGAATAAAAGAGGAAATAAGGGATGGAGTCAGGCAGTTGTGAGGTAAGGGCAAAGAGAAAAGAGGCAAATTGTCTCTTCTCACAGCAAGTGAGAAGCCTAGGTTCTAAGCTAAGGGGGTGCTATAGGCAGATCGAGAGAAGAAAACAGCTAGCTGCTCTGATGACTGGGTGAGAGAATAAATTAGGGAAAGGTAAAAGGACTGCATTATTGGAATGAGGGCCCAGCTGATATTAAATAACATAGATTTATCTCAATGGACGCAGTCAACATGGTTGGATGACTTCCTTCAGCTCTGTTCAGCAGGAGGGGAGTAGAAGGAAGATAGTGGGAATAATCCAAGGTTGGGGCTTGCAAGGCATGGACAGTGGAGCAAGAGATTCAAGAGCAAAGGGTGCTGTAAAGTTGAACTGCATAGAAATGAAAATTGAAGCCCTGGGAACTTATGAGATCACTAAGAGAGAAAAGGGTCTAGGACAGGATTGCAATACACCCACAGTTAAGGGGCTATTCAGCAAATGAAACAGAGCAGTCAGACAGATAAGAGAGCCCTGTGGATTTGCTTCCTCTCTTAAAAAAAAATTTACTTAATCCTTTCAGTGATCAAAAATATCTTTGCTTCCTCCCATTTCCCTCCCTCATTGAAACCAGAAAAGAAAAACAAAACCCTTGTAACAAATATGTATAGTAAAGCAAAACAAATTCCCACATTGACCACATTTGGGAAAATATGTCTTCCAACACCCTGGGTCCATCACCTCTCTTTCAGGAGATGGGAAGCACATTTCATCTTCAGTCCTCTGGAGTCATGATTGGTCATTGCAGTGACCAGAGTTCGTAAGTCTTTCAAAGGTGCTTGGCTTTGTTGTTTTTTCAATTGTGTCAGACTCTTCATGACCCCATTTG